ACATTATGTGAACGAGCAGTTGACGCGGACTTTGTTATTTCGGAATAACACTGCTGCGTAGACATAGCCCAGAAAGCTGACCCTCCTCGGAGCGGCTCAGCTACCGCTTGTAAAGCCAGGACCCTGCCTCCTAGGAGCAGCACTGCATTAAGAAGAGAGAGCCCATGAAATCAGCAGTAATGCGATCGCACATTAGGCCTCAAGACCCGAAGGGCTGGGGAGGGCTCAGCTCTAGAAGTGGAGACTATTAGGTCTTGGATGCAAAGGAAGGAGCTATTCATTGCTTTGAGGTCTTTGTTTTTAGAAGAAAAAAAAAAAAAAAGAGCGGATCCTGTATCTTGTATTTTTGCAGCATGCAATGCGCCCAACACTTCTGTGCGGCACTCACACCACTCAGTCATCGGGCCGTCCTACCCACTTCCCTCTTGTAACCATTAAAGGGTTCTTGACCACAAGAGACCCAGCAAAGACCAGGGGGAAGGGGGAAAAAAGGGGAGAGAGGTTGCTTATTGGAGACTGACAGCAAGCACAACCCTTGAATAGAACGTCCTTATCTACTAGAGTTTAGCCATGGACACCTCAAAGAGCTTTGGGGTGCATCTCCACAGCATCCTAAACGCCAAGTAAGAAACACCAATTGCACATTTTGCAGTTTGGCACGTCTACACAGCGCCAAATTTCGAAACGATGGGCTATTCTGAGACATCCCTTAACCCCTGTGGAATGAAGGTTACAGGGATGCCAGAACAGCGTGGCTGTTGTTTTGGGGAAAAAAAAGTGTAAATAATGGACAGGCTTGTTAAGACGCGAGGGAGCTATTTCGGGAAGCCTCCAGTATCCCGAAATAGCCGTGCAGTGTAGACGTACCTCTGCTGCCATTAGAACTGGCTTGTCAGGACAGAGATAAGACAGGGGCTCTCAAACGCTTTGGCCCACGGCCTACCCCACTCATGGAATCATAGGACTGGAAGGGACCTCGAGAGGTCATCGAGTCCAGCCCCCCGCCCTCAAGGCAGGACCAAGCTCCGTCTACACCATCCCTGACAGATGTCTATCCAACCTGTTCTTAAATATCTCCAGAGAGGGAGATTCCACCACCTCCCTTGGCAATTTATTCCAATATTTGACCACCCTGACAGGAATTTTTTCCTAATGTCCAATCTAAACCTCCCCTGCTGCACTTTAAGCTCATTACTCCTTGTCCTGTCCTCAGAAACCAAGAGGAACAAATTCTCCTTCCTCCTTGGGACACCCTTTTAGATATTTGAAAACCGCTATCATGTCCCCCCTTAATCTTCTTTTTTCCAAACTAAACAAGCCCAGTGCATGAAGCCTGGCTTCATAGGTCATGTTCTCTAGGCCATTAATAATTGTCGCTCTTCTCTGTACCCTTTCCAATTTCTCCACATCTTTCTTGAAATGTGGCGCCCAGAACTGGACACAGTACTCCAGCTGAGGCCTAACTAGTGCAGAGTAGAGCAATTCCATGCAGACCTTTCTGGGGACCACCAGCCAACCACCTGTGATGATGAAATGGGTGCAGGAGGGGGTGGGGGTAACAAATCTGGGCAGGAGGTGAGGTGCAGGTGGGGGTACAAGGTCCGGGCAGGAGGGAGGGTGCAGAAACAGTGTGAGGGGATGGGGGGCCCTTACCTGGTTCTGACACCCCCGCTGCTCTCAGGCACTGCCCACTGCTGCTCCCATTGGCTGCAATTCTGACCAATGGGAGCAGTGGGAAAAGCCTTCAAGCAAGCGGATTCCTCCACTCCCATTCCCCCCCAGCGGAGGGAAGGGGAGCAGCAGCACATGGAGCTGCTTTCTGTCCCTGCAAGCCAGATCCACCTTGCCAGGCCTCCCTCCACAGCAGGAAGCTGGTATGGCACACTGCCCACTGCTGCTCCCATTGGCTGCAATTCTGACCAATGGGAGCAGTGGGAAAAGCCTTCAAGCAAGCGGATTCCTCCACTCCCATTCCCCCCCAGCGGAGGGAAGGGGAGCAGCAGCACATGGAGCTGCTTTCTGTCCCTGCAAGCCAGATCCACCTTGCCAGGCCTCCCTCCACAGCAGGAAGCTGGTATGGCACTCTAGCCTGGCAGGGTGGGAGGGAAGAAGGGGGGAGGGATGGGGCTAGAGCAGGGGGAGGAGCAGGGTGGAGGGGTGAGCCCCAATCTTGCAGCCCAACTGCAAGAGGGTTGCAAGCCACGACAAGAGGTTTGGGATGTCTCAGGGCTGAGATCCAGCTGGCCTGTCCTATGGCTGGGCCTGCATCCTGTCCCGCATGCCAGGGACAACTTGTTCACCCAGCTTAACTATCAAAGTCCCCACCTCGCAGGCGGCTGGTCACCAAGGTGACAAATTCAAGGCAAGAGCCTGCAGGACCCCGATTTGATGGCACTAAACAGCCAGTCTCAATCCAGCCTGTGGTCACCGTTCTACCCCTATTGCTATAGGCCACAGGGTTGTCGACAGGGGAGCCCTTCTTTAGAGCAACAGGAGTGGCCTTACACTGGTGTAACAAGGCTGGTTTTCTCCCAGTTCTGCCCTAGCCCCATTTTAGAGCTCTGGAGGGGGAAACCATTCTTGGAATAAAGTGGGTGTCGGGATTAAAGTATTTTGTAAATGGAACATGCCATCCAAATGCTAAATAGCTTTAGCTTAACAGCTCTTAGAAAGAATTACTTGGTGTATGAAAAGCAGCTATAAAAAAAAATCCCTTGATACAAGCTGCTTTACAGTCATTAGCAAGACACCCCATGTCAAACTGACAGTCCAATTCCTACTTGTGAATTCAGGGGGAGCACGATGGCTCCCCCAAGGGTGCAGGATCCGGCCACGTAACCCCAGAAGTGGGCAAACAGCCAGATTCCTCTCGATTCATTTAGCTTTTGCACATCTCAGCTTGCACAGAGAAACCACAACGATCAGTTTTACGTGTGTGTCTGACGCTGAGGATTTTTTTTGGGGGGGGGGGAACCCATGACTAAGGGAGACTGAGGATTATGAACAGGAAGAGGGGTTTACAGTACAACTGGAAATAGGGCTTCCGCAAAAGGCTTCCCTTGGTTTGGCTCCAAAAGCTTATCACTGGTCAGCTAAAAGAAGATTCACCAGGGACCCAGTGTTAGCGCTTGCTAGGGTTGCATTATGCCGAGGACTCCAAATGAGGCGGCTCAGGAGGAAGGGGCAACCCTCTCTAGCGACTGAATTAAGTTGAATGGACACAGGACGAGGACTGGAAAGTCCCTTTGGACAGCAGCAAGAGGGCGAGAACAACTCAGAATGCAAGCCTGGGGCCGTGTTGGGCATTCGACAAAAGCCCTGGCGGGAGAAGAGACTCATTTCAAGCCTTTCCTGTCAAAGTACCCGTGGTCAGAGCTGTGCTCTGCTTTCCAGTCCCTCTGCTCACTCCTTTCTAGCCTCCCTGCCCCCCATCTCTCCCTGGTCATTTCAGTCCCATTACTGCAGGGTTTAAGCACCAAAAGGGTGTATTTGTGACTGCAACATCCTTGCTCAATAGGGAAGTGCTATTTTCCTCTTCATTTTACACGTGGGCAAATTAAGTGGCCTTTAGCAAGTCAGGAAACATATGGCAGTGCAGGGAATTGAAACTGGATCTCTCAAGACCTCACTAGCACCCAATCATTGGGCCAGTTTTCTTCTTTGCATACAGAATTCTTCCCTGCCCATTTCCCTAGGCTGAGCACGGACTCAATGCTCAAGACATCCTCCCTGAAGAGATTTTGCAGAAACTACTTAAGGCAGCGGTCACCAGCCAGTCGATCGGGATCTACTGGTCGATCTTGACAGCCTCTTGGCCAAACCAGTCAGGATCCCCTGTCAGAGGTCCAAGTGCAGACACTTCAACTGCCCCTCCCCCTACTGCTGCACATCTCCTGCCCTTAGAGCTGCCCCCCGCCCCCTCGTGCAGGGCAAGGCAAAGAGAAGCACTGATGTCAAGGTGCCCCCTCTATCTCCACAGAGCAGGGGGGGGGCAACAGGGCTTGGGATGGAGGGAGTTTGCTGGCTGCTTTTGGGAGTGGTGCAGGACCAGGGCAGGGATGAGCCTGCCTTAGCTCCAATGCCCCTCCACCCAGTTGGAACCCACATCCTGAAACCCTACCCCAGTCATGAACCCACTCCTGTACCCCAAGCTTCTGCCCTAGCCCTGAACACCCCTGCATCCAAACACCCTCCCAGAGCTTGCACCTAGAACGTCCTCCAGCACACTGACTGCCTGCCATAAGCTCAGCGCCCCTCTCGCACTCCAAATCCTTTAATCCACGACCAGAGCCTACACCAACCCACTGCCCCTGTGTGGTGAAAATGAGAGAGGATGGGGAGGGAGGCTGGAGTGAGCAGGGGCGGGGCTTCAGAAAAGAGGCACAAAGGAGGTGGGGCCAGGGTATTTGGGTTTGAGATAGATCTTGGATTGCACTTCAATTCAAAAAGCGATCTTGTGCTTAAAGAGGTTGGAGACCCCTGACTTAAGGCAAAATCCACACCGATCACCACAATGCATCCATGTGGTGAGGATTCAGACATTTCCCCAAAGTACAGCCACCCTGTCCAGGGACCCGGAATTAGTCTTTAAGTCAGAGTGGATGTTTGCTTTCCTGTCTGAAGAGTGCCCCACTATGGAACAGAAGATAACTAACTTGTCAAAGCTACACAATTCAAGACGATGTCAGCTTACCACTGAGAGGTGACTGGTCTCTACCCCTCAAATAAGAGCAGAACGGGAGCAGTCAAGAATAGCTTTTGGTGCACCCAAGTTCTGTAAGAGCAAAAAACGGGGGGAAGCAAATTCCAGAATCAAGAGACCTTTGCCAAGAAGGTCTCCTGCATCCCCGGGCATCAGCTCGAACCTCCTGGCAGTCAGGAAGTGCCAAAGCAAAGTTCAAGGGAGCCAGAAACCAAGCCCTGCAAAGTTTTGCAGATCCAACACAGCCCGAATGACATTTCCAGCATGGCACTTTTTAGAATGAGGAGCAGAGACTTACGCATTGCAATACGGCTTCTTCTCATAGCCCTTGTAGTTTTTCATGTTTAGGGTCATCTTGCATATCTCGCAGTGGAAACATGCTTTATGCCAGAACTGCAAACAGACAAACAAGGACACAGTTAGCCGTGGGAAGAATTGCAATTCTAACAGCCCAAGATTCCTGTCCTCAGAAAGGCCATTCCTCAAAGCAGCAGCTTTGAGTGCTTTTTCAGAAACGCCTGCAGTCAACACAGGATCCTTCCAAGGAACATGCCAAGGACGAGATTAGATGAAAGTGTTCCTACCAGCCTAGGACCTGAGCAAACCTGGAGTCCATTACACATAGACAGGACGGGGAGAAAGCGGGCGAGGCATTTGAAACAGTCCCCCACAACAGAGTTGACAATACACACACAGGAGACAAAAGCAAGAGGCTGCAATTTACCGACAGCGTGAACAATGGTTTCAATTAGGGCCAGGCTTAATTTCGTGCCAAGAGGGGGTGGTTATTGGGAGGGAGTTTGCTGACCAGACACAAGAGGGAGAAGACATCTATGGGAGGGGAGAAAGACCATTTGAAACAGTCCCCCACAACAGAGTTGACAATACACACACAGGAGACAAAAGCAAGAGGCTGCAATTTACCGACAGCGTGAACAATGGTTTCAATTAGGGCCAGGCTTAATTTCGTGCCAAGAGGGGGTGGTTATTGGGAGGGAGTTTGCTGACCAGACACAAGAGGGAGAAGACATCTATGGGAGGGGAGAAAGACCGTGAGGAAATAGAAAACAGAGGAGGGGGGGGGGGGGGAAAGCATGAATGGCAGATGGAGCCAGGCTGAAACCAGGCAAGTGAGGGAGGGAACAGATGGGGAAGAACGGCTAGAACAGAAAAGCAGTGATAAGATAAACTCAGCAACCCAAAGGGCTCCAGGCATGCTTGGCCTCCTTGCAGCAGTTTTGCCTGAGCTGATATGGCTGGAGAGAGGCAGAGCGACTTGAAACCTAGCAGGGAAATCCTCACCCCCTTGGGGGGGCATCTTGGATCAGCTCCACTCTCCTCCTCCTCCCACCCTACGGCACAGCTGCAGTTAGTTGTTTTCTCTCCTCTCCTGCTAGCCGAGTGTGACTGGCCCTGCCAGAAAAATCAGTCCTACCGCCATGCCACAGAGAAGAGAGGCAGTAGCGGAATGGCTCGTCTGCCCGACAAGGCATCATTTAGCTAGGCTGAAATCCCGGAGGGAAACATCTCAGGGAGGGGCCCATAAGAAGTGGGGCAATACAAAGGCTGCCCCATCCTCCTGCTCCTGCCAGAGGCTTTCGTCTCCCCCTGCTCAGAGCCGAGTGACAGCCCCAGCGCCAGATGCTCCCTTATGGGCACCAAATGCACAGTCCGGCACTTAAATGGAGGCTGAAATCCGGTGCATGACTCACACGTCTAACAGGCCAGCAGTACAGGTGACTGGCCTACCCTGCCTTCAAGGCTCAAAGATGCTGCTTAGAAGTAGCCAGGTTAATGGTTAATCAGGGTGAGACTTAACTGGGTGAGGCATTATAGTTAGCCAGTGACAGGCTAGAACAGGCCCCTCTCGCCAGGGGCAGGGGTCTGCTCCAATCCCCCAGGGCCTGGTACCTTCTGGGCCGGGCCCAACGTGGACAGCCCCCCCTTGCCCTCCCATTTAACTGGTTAACCGGTTAAACTAACATATAGCCAGTTCACTACTTAAGCTGGATTAGAAAGAAATATTTACACTTGTTACAGCTCAGGGAGGTTGACGAGTCCTGACAAAGTTCTAGCACCAGTCCAGAAACAATCCAGACCCCCCCCCCTCCTATGGTAACCTTGAAACCAACGCCTGCGGCCCCGCCACCCAGCGGGGCTCCTAGAAACAGCCACAAGTGCTCAGCGTGCTGGTCACCCAAAGGGGAGCTGCCCAGAGACTTTGCAGGTAGGGCAGGAAGTTAAAAGCCACCCCAGAGCTAACCCCACCCAGGCTAGCACAAGCTTCATTCCAGGGTCAGATCACCCTCCTCCCTCCCCGCCCCCCACACAGGGGGCTAAAGGGGAGACACTTGAAAACCTAGTGGAGTAACATATTTGAGAGAGATCCAACAATTTCGACAGCCCATCATGCAAGAATCTTTAAGAAACAACCCTATGCTACAAGTCACTGCTAATCTACATAGCTCAACTCCCAACGCCAGATAAAAATCTGCAAGCTCAGCATGGACAGCTGCTGAATTTGCTGCTCTGCTGGGGTGCTAGCATTAAGCTTCTGAACTCCCCCCAAGCCCCGCTGGTCCAGCACAACAGGTGAAGTGTTTTCGAGAGGAACCATGTGCAGACCAGGACGGAGGCAGCGTTACCTGCCTGTGGACACCACACCCTGGTGTATCAACACAGCTGCAGCCCAGCAAAAGAGCGAGGATGACTCAGCAGGAGCAGAGGGTAGCGGCCTCACTTCAGTTACCTAGAGCAACCTCTTTGTCCTTTCCCCACGCAGGGCTGGACCGAGCCATTCCAGCGCCCCGGGCAGACAGTTTAATTGTGCTCCAAGTTGGGGGGGGGGCGCATGCACGGCCCCGCTCCCGCCCGGCGCGGGGGGGAGGGTGCGCGGGGCTGGCGGCA